CAACGACATTAAGCCACAACACAACGACATTAAGCTTACAACACAACCACATTAAGCTCAGAACACAATGACATTAAGCCACATCACAACCACATTAAGCTCACAACACAACGACATTAAGCTCACAACACAACGACATTAAGCCACAACATAACGACATTAAGCTCACAACACAACGATATTAAGCTCACAACACAACGACATTAAGCCACAACACAAAGACATTAAGCTCACAACATAATGACATTAAGCCACATCACAACGACATTAAGCCACAACACAACGGAAATGCTCCCGACCACTAGGGGGCAGTTGGTCTACAGAAACGGGAAATGGACTCTATACACGGCACGCAGCCTACGTATTTCCGGTGAAATCTCAGGGGGCATAAAAGCTTCATGAATCGATACATTAAAATTACCAGGATATCAAAACATTCACTAAAAACATGTTGTTCATTTACAAATCGATTACACACATTAAGATCAATCGCTTACATTGAGAATTTCTTGTGGCGTCTCGAGGAAATATCGGTGTTTAACTGTCAACACTGCCCCCTAGTGGTCGGGAGCATTTACGTTGTGTTGTGGCTTAATGTAGTTGTGTTGTGAGCTTAATGTCGTTGTGTTGTGAGCTTAATGTCGTTGTGTTGTGAGCTTATGTTTCCTTTTTTATGAGCTTATTCCTTTTTTAATTGCGTTGTGTTGTGCACTACTGGGTCACCGTAACCGGCCGAAATTAATTATTCACTTAAAATCTGTCACTCGATCGGTCTGATTCATGAATGAATCATTCCAACTGGTTTTATGAATCAGAATCAAATCAACCAATGCATTAAAGATCAAAAGAATGATTGATTCACAAAAGTATTATTCATTCACAAATCTGACATTGCTACTTCTCTCATGAAAGCAAGGAGAGATTTTCATTTTTTTTTTTTTTAAGTAAATAACTTAAAGGGGTCATATGATGCTTTTTTAAAGATCATTATTTTGTGTATTTGGTGTAACAGAATATGTTGACATGCTTTAATGTTCAAAAAACACATTATTTTTCAAATACTGTACATTATTGTAGGTCCTCTATGCCCCGCCTCTCTCAAACGCTTCGTTTTCTAC